ATATATTGGGTTGCCCGGAAAGTTCGTGCCGATTTTTTAGGAAAATTAAAACGCAGCTCATTTAAATATTGGTATACATTTATTAAATTATATAGGTACCATTCTGTTCCACAACCTTTCTCCATCTTTCATGCAGCTTGAGAATACCGTCCTTCCAGAACTTCTCAGGTGTTTTGGCAAAAAATTTGTCGTCCTTGATCTTCAAGGTCGAAATTTCCAGCTTTAAACCGAGCAAACCACTTCCGCACAGTTCTTTCGGCTACAGCATCCTCGCTGAAGTTATCTCTTTTAGAATATGTACACATGTCATTTGTTTTCAATAGTTGTGATATATTCAGTCAGGTCTCTCACGCTACCTACCGAAAATCGGCACGAACTTTCCGGACAACCCAATAGGTGGAAAATTGGGTTATATATATATATAAAGAAGCAACCAAAATCCATTTTCCAAGCATCATTTATCGTGCAAATTCCCTGTGATATTCGATTTCGTAGAAGGAACAAAGGCGCCTTGCACGAGCAGATATTGGTGCGAGGACATCTTTCAGTTGCCGCTACCTGGCAATCGGGGAAGGTGGCAGAATAAAAGTGTAGCACGCTTATGTGTAACGCAAGGTTTGAAGAGCTTCTATTATTGTAAAGCAGCGGACGATGAGCCCAGTGATTGCGCTCTAGGGGGATGCATGCCTCCTCCTCGTTCCCTCTTCTGCTCTCCACTCTGCCTCTGCATCCCCCGTTCCTCTTTCCACGAGCCGGGGGCCCCTCCGCCCTCTCCTTCGCTCCAGTTTTGTCGACGAAATTGCATTTTCCCTTGCAGGTTCGCGGTTCACCGGTTGGAAAGAAGGCAAGTGCGCTTCGCGTGCTCACGAGAGTATACAGGGTGTTCGAGTCCGACGAAACGGGCTTTAAGGGCGCGGCAATCCAATGCGGTGTTGCTACACGCGTATGAAAAAAACCCATAAAGTGTGGGTGTGGGTGTGGGTGGGTGTGTTTCAAGCTACTTGCAAAAATTCCGAAATTGTCGTTTCGACACCTCGGTATAGTAATATCGACTTCCGAAAAATCGTGCACGTTATAATATCCATCGAAGGGAACCCGATTCCTGCGTAAATCATAGTACACATTCGGAACTTGTATTAAAATGTCAACGGAGGTACAAACTTCAGATTGGTTTCCAAAGAAGTTTGAGTTTCTCATCGAAACATCGGTGAAACTAGACTTTCCGAGGCAGAAGTTTCGAATCGATTCGCGAAATGTCGAACACACCGGCATGATCGTCGATGTCGTTACTATAGATTCTATGGATCAGTATTAAAAAAATTGCAATCAAGATAAAAATCTGTTTCGTCTATTAAGATTTTTATAGGTTTTCAGAGAAAATAAAAACCTTCCCGGACTTTTTTCGGTGAGTTTCAAGGAAACGAAAATGCTATGAACGCGTGAATTCCACAGTTTAGACATAAATAAATAAATAAATATATGAATAAATAAATGACGTTATATCATTGTTATTATTACTTATTATATACGAGTGATATAATCCATTAGTAATATCACAAAAACGAATGTATAAGCAAGAAGATAGTAAAGAAAAAAAGAACATATAAAAATCCATAAATTAAAAAAGATGTGTGCAAATTGCTCGTGTGATTACTCGAACTTGTAAAGAAATCTATGTAAAAACGATCGGAAATAGATCATTATATACTTATTATACATATTATACTATATTATTATATTATTATTTATATTATGAACAATACGGTCTAAAGCAGAATGTGGACTGTATTATAAATTTCGGTTGTCCTCCATTATTTTATTAGAGGGGAGCTGCGAAGAAAATTAATTTTTATAACCGTTTATAGTAAAACGAAAGGAAAGAAGAAAAATGGCCGTAATTGCAAAGAGATCCGCAGGCTAATCGTGGTGCAAAATACGCGAGCGACGAGTTAGTATGATTGGGTTTTACTTGAAAATCGAACTTCTTTTATAATTGCACGCTATGGACCGTTTCAATTAACGTTTCATTCTGCCCCCGTTCGTTTAAAAGGATTTCACGGCTCGCGCGTTTATAGGCGGCACAGATTAATGTCGACAATTTTACGAGCGCAACATTATGGATCGCCGGCCCATGAAAATTCGGGTCTATGTACGAATTCCGTTATTCCGATAAAATCGCATCGCAAACTGATTTAAGGAATGTTTGTTGTACGTATAATTGTTTCGTTGTACAATATAATGTAACGGAAACATTCATTTTTCATTATGAATGAAAAGAAAGGGACAATTACCGGCGTCGCTCTGCTGCGAGTTTCCCAGGAAATTCAATAAACGGATTCATGAAATTAACGTTGCAACGAAATAAAAAGAACTCAGGAGAACTCTTGGGGCTCTAGCTTTAAATTAGAAGGCAAACGAACGAGTTTGCATTTGACCCAGTAACTTTATTAACAGATCCGTGCGAGAAACGTTCCGGAATTTGCCACAATTTCTCGTTTATTAAATTGAAAGATGATTAAGCAACTAATATCTCTCGTAACTAATTATTAGATCATGGGTGTTTCTGCGAACTAAAATTAGTTATTTCTCTTAATTAGTTTTATCTCCCTTCTGTAAATAATTGTAATATGTTAAAACATCATTACAAAAGATTAATATTCGAAGGCTGATTTTTTAGTCCCTTAATCAATTTGTAATAACTGTTTCAATAGCTAATTGTGAAGTTGTCTGCAGCAGGATCTCATAAAACTTTCTTTTGAGATTATTGAGATTAAGATCATTAAAATTCTTTCTGATATAACAGCAGAATAAAGTAGACTCATAGATGAAACTTAAAAATTTTCTTTTAATATTAATAAAAATTAATAATTGTTCCAAATGAAATGATTAGATTACCTTGTTGGAAGTAAATTATTGGCTTACTGTAACAACCGGTATAATTGTTACAGAATTCATTGAGAAACTTTCATTTACGAATTAGATATTTTTGAAAACGGTGTAGTGATAAAAGGATTGCAGATTTATTACCTGTCTCTTATACACATCTCTGTAACAACCGGTATAATTGTTACAGAATTCATTGAGAAACTTTCATTTACGAATTAGATATTTTTGAAAACGGTGTAGTGATAAAAGGATTGCAGATTTATTACCTGTCTCTTATACACATCTCTGTAACAACCGGTATAATTGTTACAGAATTCATTGAGAAACTTTCATTTACGAATTAGATATTTTTGAAAACGGTGTAGTGATAAAAGGATTGCAGATTTATTACCTGTCTCTTATACACATCTCTGTAACAACCGGTATAATTGTTACAGAATTCATTGAGAAACTTTCATTTACGAATTAGATATTTTTGAAAACGGTGTAGTGATAAAAGGATTGCAGATTTATTACCTGTCTCTTATACACATCTCTGTAACAACCGGTATAATTGTTACAGAATTCATTGAGAAACTTTCATTTACGAATTAGATATTTTTGAAAACGGTGTAGTGATAAAAGGATTGCAGATTTATTACCTGTCTCTTATACACATCTCTGTAACAACCGGTATAATTGTTACAGAATTCATTGAGAAACTTTCATTTACGAATTAGATATTTTTGAAAACGGTGTAGTGATAAAAGGATTGCAGATTTATTACCTGTCTCTTATACACATCTCTGTAACAACCGGTATAATTGTTACAGAATTCATTGAGAAACTTTCATTTACGAATTAGATATTTTTGAAAACGGTGTAGTGATAAAAGGATTGCAGATTTATTACATTAATTAGCACTTCTTTTTCGCTAATAAATTCCTACACGAGGAAGAAAATTTACATTTATTCTATGGCAACCTTTACTTTAATATTTACATATTGATAATTGAAGAGACGAATTTTATTTCAGTTTGAAAGAAGTTCATAACATTCAGATTTCATAGATTAGAAAATATAGGATTGTTACTTGTATATATGTATATGTCCAATATTGATTATTATTATTATTATTATTATTATTATTATAGTTTCTAAATTCTTACCGAACATCGTATTCGAAATCTTCGTAACGAGACTGACAGGTTATTACAGCGCTTTCATGAAGAAAGACTGCGATTTACATCAACTGTTACAATTGACTATTCGAAATAACGAAAGAAATATTTTAAATGTTGAATTTAAATTGAACCGTAAAATCGAAACGAGTGGTGACTAATCGATTTCCATTTTTTTCTGTGCAGGTGGTAACTCCTCAGAAGTGCGGCGATGTGTATTTTTACGATCTACCAGCGAATCGGGGAAGCCCCGCGCCGCTATCGAGACACGATTCACCCTTGACTGCGAACAACGACCAATTGCACAGCACGGGTAAGTTACAAGCCCCTTTGTCGGCCTACGTACGATTTATTCGAAACACAGGCGGACGCTTTGATCGCTTCGAAATTGAAAACGTGTCTTTTTATACGCATGGTTCTCATTTATGGGATAAAATCGGTCTGCAATGTTGCCATTGCAAAATTGATGGGATTACGTTGTAACGAATACCGCAGAAACTGTAGGATACAAATTATACTATTGTAAACTGTTTACTAATGTTCTTTTATTTTGGATAATTTCATTGTATTCGTCTTTACGTTTCAATCCTTTGCAATCTTTTTATTGTAAACATCTTTACTTACACTTATCAGGGAATGCAAATCAGATGCTATCACTGCAGATGAAATAAATTTGCAGCAGTTTAATAAAATGTATTATATTTATTTTCATTGAAACTTTGTGAAACGTTTAATATAGGGATTTCTGTATCTTAAAATTCAAAACATGAATCATAAAGATTTACATTTGCATAAACATCTGCAGTCCAATTGTTGCTAAACTACGAATCTTTACACAAATCGTTGATTATATGAATATTACTTGAAATATAACTTGAACAAAATTAATTTCGACAAAAAGGAAATTCCTTGCTGCAAACATAAAAGAAGAATACATTTTCGTCAATCTTCAAGTTTCTTTTGTGCTTTAAAGCTTTCGACGTAGACGAAGATCTGCAGTTTAATTATGGCTTTTTCGTTAAAGTCAATAGGGACGGAACTAATTAAGTGTTCAGTATACACGAACCAGTCTGTATAGCAGACACAGAAACGTCAACGTTCATCCACTCGCTTTGATCATCCGTAACGAATAGACGCAATCGTAACAGCAATTTCTTCGAGTGACACTAGCAATTTGCCTTCATCTTCAACCGGAGGTACGCGTGGTCGTTTCATCCTGCATAAATAAACTTTATTTGATGCGTCGTCCACGACAACGTAACGAGATTAAGAATTTCCTGTGAATTTCCACGACACCCTCGAATCCCCTTATCGTTTTGTATAACCTCGAAGTACTGGTTTCCTCAGTGACAAAGATATAGGTGTACAAAAACTGACGTACCTCGGTAAATAGGTTTTTGTTTGAAAATTATTTATTTTAACGTAGAGACGCTAATTTATACAAATGGCTCTAATAAGAGTTTTATAATGTCGATAGTCGAAATTATAAGAGCGAATTAAACAATGCTATAAAAGAAAATCCGAAAGTATGCAAAATGTAGGGGATGGTGCAACAATTTGTTATACAAAATGATTCTAATAATTCTAATGTTCAAAGAAGATTTGATATTTGATCCGTTTATCTTGAAAGTGGCCTACATCCATTTTCCAAAAACATCGAGTCAGCCATTTTCATATTCACTTTATAAATATTTACTTAACATTACTTTATAAAGCCTCTAAAACGCAATAACCCTTAGAAACACGAAAACATTATACTACCATGTTATCGGTTACCAATATTTTTAAATTTATTAAAATACGCAAAATCCTTAAATATCTGAATTTCAAAATAAATGAATTTAGGCCACTTTTAAAGTAGCCGGCTCATTTGTTTCATAGTAAAATTTATATCGACAAAAGAAACATTGATATTTAGCTGTAAGTTCGTAAGAAATGCCGATTAAATTGCTAAAGTTTCTTTTCAGTAGCGCAAACCCGAGGCCCGCCAACAAGGCACAATAATTGGCTCCTCTAGCCTGCGCCAAGAAATTTGATTTGCATTTCACGTTTCCTTAAACTTCTCTCCAGGGCGATACACGACCGGCACCAGAAGTTCGATAGACAATGGCGGGGATGTGAGCGAATGTTACGACGTTCCTCCGCGAGCGGTCCCCGTGATTCCATCGCCAGCGAGCAGTCCGAGTCCTGCACCCTCTTGCTACGATATCCCGAGACAACCCACCTCCTGCACGCCAAGCTCAAATTGCTCCGGTGGTTCTGGCGTCACACCCCTCGATTGCTACGACGTGCCAAGACCTTTGCAACCCTTGACGCCAAGCAGCTCCGCGTCCAGCCTCACGAACGACGGATCCCTGAGCGGTTCTAACAGGTATGCGATATCTCCAACCGAATGTTGATACAGACGGCTATAACTGGAACCAACTAATTGCCCCGAAAACCTCGTTATAGTATCTGTTCACTGTGACATGCACGCCACAGACCTAACATCGTAGTTTGCTCAGGACTACTCTTCGGCCACTCTGTATATTGGATTTGGAGAGAGAGAGACTCGGCTGACAAGCTTTTTGGGATTGTCTTCCTAATGACACAGATTTCGTGTGTGTACAGGGTATTCATACATAAATCTGTCGTTGCAAAGAATAACGTCGCATGTCGTACGATTTCATTTTCAAGATATTGTCACTTGAAATTTTGATCACCAATGTTTCGTATTAATAGCGTTTCAATTTGCTTTATCTTTTCTTTGCTTATTTTTTTGCTTTATCTATAGAATTTGTTTTTATGATTTGTTTTCCGACAAACGGTTGAATCCTATATTCTAAAGCTGAATTAATGCAGAAATTGAAATTTTATAAAATCGTGACATGCGGCAATCCTTCTAACAGACACAGAAATGTCCAAATAAATACGATTGAAGGCGTAAAAATGTCTAATAGGAGAAATTTACACGGCTTCAAGTGAGTCACAAGGTGCACGTTTCACAAGCTCTTTAACATATCCAACTTGCATTACTATCAAAGATTACAGTATAAATTATTACTTTAATCTTCAAGATATCAATTATTATGTTACCGATAAATATGTTTATCAGCATCTCGTTCGCAAGAATGATATCGTTGAGCTTCTCGTTGGTTTTTCATCGATCTTTTTTCTTGAGATCAGTAACAGTAATTTAATTATGCACTCGAAGCGCATCAGAGCATCAACATCGAGTACAATGAACTGTGTATATTTGCGAGGGTAGCGAGTCACAGCTGCCAGGAAGAGATTTATTTCGAGAAGCTCGGGCTTAAATACCGGACCGGTGCCAACAGCGGTCGTTCCTACCGCAGCTTCGGAGAAATTGGTTCCGTTTACGCTTTGGAAAACGACAAATACGCCGCCACGACGATTTCATCCGTGATTCTAGCCGGAAAGTAGATTACACGTTCGAAATTTCAACTTTCGAGGAAGCTTGACAGCTTGACGTTCGGAACAGAATAATAGGAAAACGTGAACCACTTTGGCTGATACGACCACGTTACGAACTACTCTTGTAATATGGTTACACAATAATATTCCGCGGATGTTTCTACCTTTGCACTTTCACGAACAGAAAGAAGCTTGAGATTAAACAACGTTCCTTTCCTTTCGTTAAAACCCAAATGAAACTGTATCAAGTTTTCTTCTTCAGTCGATCTGCGTGAACCAAGATGTGTTTTGATCCCTTTTTATGTCCGATGCACCGTTCAGACAGCTACGTATAAGCGTCATCAATTTCTCGTATCGAACGATATCCTTTGATAGAGATACTTTCGGAAGCATATACTTTCGGAAAATGAAATTCGAAAGAGATCGATTTTTTGAAGGTTCTAGACTAGAACACCCTCTTAACCTTTTAGGCACGACGCGCCACTATAGTGGCTTATTCTAGTAGCTCACTCGGTCGTTTGAATTAAATAATCGTCTTCATATGCATTGTTTCACACTTCTTTTGTCTTCACATCGATTTACAACAGTCTACAGGGTGTCCCAAAAATGCCTCGCCATCCGGAAATGGCGGGTTCCTCGGGTCATTTGAAGCAACTTCTTTCTTTACACAAATTTTCTCCGAGGCACCGTTAACGAGTTATTAACGAAAAACAGTGACGCGAGGCGGCCCAGCCAACCACCGCGCGAAGCCCAGTTCCGCTCATTGGCTCGATCGCCTCGTGCCAGCTGAGCTCGCCTCTCATTGGTCACTGTTTTTCGTTAATAACTCGTTAACGGTGCCTCGGAGAATATTTTTGTAAAGGAAAAAGTTGCTTCAAATGGCCTGAGGAATCCGCCACTTTCGTATTGCGAGATATTTTTGGGACACCCTGTATATACAGACAGAATATACAGACACTCTGTACAGTACATATCAGACTCTGCCGTCCAGAGAAATAGCCTCGCGCAGAATTCAGCCGTACCTAAAAGGTTAAATCTTCCACAATTTTCCAGGGTTTTCGTGCGATAATAAACTTTCAGCGTCTAACGAGGACGTCCCCTTTCAGATCCAGCCTCGCAGCCCCCGATTACGATGTACCCCGATCGCGTCTTCCAGCTTCCTCGTTACCGTCCCGGCACAACACTCCTGTGCCTAAAACGCCGACACCACCTCCCCCATCGCAAACACAGCAGATCTACGATGTTCCGGTTAGCAAGGAACTTCCGCTAGAGCTAGATTCCGCGTTGGAAGGCCTGCAAAGGCTGCAAAGCGAAGCATCGGCTGCAATAGCTAGGTTACTGGGCTTCGTCAGCCCAGTTTGGAGAACGGCTCAGCGGCTGGACGCAACCCTGATGGACCTCAGACTGGCAGCCCTGAGGCTTAGAACGTCCTTGCACGATCTGGCTGAATTCGCCGAAGGTAATTATCTTTGTTATGTTAAGTATAAAAAAAAATCTATATGCATGTATAATGGTATTACGAAGAAACATTATCGAATTGGTCGATTTGTTAACACTAGATCGCCGAAGCGAGTTAATTTAACTCATTTAAGGATTGATTGCTATATACATGGAGTCCCAAAATTATGGTACTTCCCGAAAATTAGGGATTCCTGAGATCATTTGAAGTAACTTTTTTTCTCAGCGAAAATACAATCCGCGGCTTCGTTTACGAGTTATTAACGAAAAACTGTGATCAATGAGAGGCGTGCTCGGCTGGCACGAGACGGCCCGGACGAAGACCAGTACCGTTCATTGGCTCGGTCGCCAGCCGAGCTCGCCTCTCATTGGTCACAGTTTTTTGTTAATAACTCGTAAACAAAGTCGCGGATTGCATTTTCGCTAAGGAAAAAGTTTTTTCAAATGATCTCAGGAACTCTTCATTTCCCGGAAATACCACAATTTTGGGACACCCTGTATATAAGAAAAATTAAATCATTTTTTTTTCAAACATGTATTAGAATTCTATGTATTAGAATGTAATAGAATTCTAACCAATATATGTTTTAAATAACCAATATATGTTTTTAAAAAAATGATTTAATTTTTTGTATATATGATGCAATAAAATCATAAATGAGTCAAATTGACTCACTCCAGCAATCTAGTGTTATCATAGGCTTTTTGCTAACACTTGTGTCGATTTTGTCCCCTCAGGCCTTTTCACCGTAACGAATTATTCAGAATGAGCCGCGACTAAAGTTGATTTTAAATGTGGTTGGGCAGCCTCAGAAATCCTTTAACAAATGTTTGTTGAGGTAGCTTTTTTGACAATTCAAGTAATACGTCATTCTATGTACATCTCATGCTACAAAGCATGATTTCCATTGATCGGTTTAATGAGACTTATCGAAGACAAAATGACAATTTGCTAAATAAGCGAAACTTTATTAGGATCTACGATGTATGAAAACATTACGAAATCAATTTTTATAATAAATTTTGTCTTCTCAACTCTCATATTATTCAAGGAGTTGCTCGTTATGTTTTTGTAAACACTGGTTGGTGTGACAGTTCACCTGTTAAGGATTAAAATCAGCCTTCGAGAAAGCCAGAACGGACTAAAGAAAATTGGTCAAACCATTCTCACATTTTACGATTGTTCAAATTATCCTGACGAAAGAACGTGTGGTTAAATTGTCTATGGATAACATAAAACAACTACAACCAGGAAACTTAACGAACCAAGTGAGAAAGAAAGACTTTCAGATAAAAAAATTCGACCGACTTTTTCGTAGGCACCCTGGGAAACGCCGGCAAGGCACCGGACAAGGGTTTGGCCACGAAATTACGACCTCTGGTCAAAGCTCTCCGCGATTCCGATAAACTCGTGCAGGAAGCTGCCACTGAGCTGGACGCGATGGAATGGGACGCCGGGAAGCTCTGTCGCGGGGGTAGTGATGCTCCGACACCTACTAACGGGCCACCTTCCACCCTCGTGCCACCCACACAGCCAGACCCACTCGATCAGCTGATCGCGTGCGCCCGAGCACTCACGGAAGACGTTCGTCAGGTCGCCAGTTTCATTCAGGTGAGCATCCTACGTGCACCTACACTGCATCTCATACCTATAAAACCACCCCATAAACGTTCAGTTTTTGTACATTGCAGTTAATATAACAATGAATGAAATGTGCCATATTTGAGATTGCACCAAGCAACGATATTTTTGTAAAAAAGGATAAATTTTATTCATAAAAAAGAAGAAAACGAAAGAAATCTGAACTATTCTTCTTTTGCAACTATAGAACCAACAGAATAGAATACTTTATTACACAAGAATTCATTGCAAAGTACAATAAAATGAAATTGTAACAATAATTCAGTAAATATTTGATTTTTCATAGTTCCAGTCAGTCTTTTTTAAAGCAAAACTGACGCTCTGTCCACGAAAAACAATTTTTACTGGCATGGTTCTATAGTTACGAACACAGTAACGAATCAGTGTTTTGCTATCTTTTGGTTTCAGACTAAACATAATCTGTCCTTCTAAAAAGATACATTATTTCTCAATACGATTTTTCGAACATGCCCTGCTTCGTTCGTTATTATATTCACTCCAATGTGTAAGAACTGAACATTTTTTTGGTGGTTTTATAGTTGTGAGACGCAGTGTATAAAACAACTCTTGAACAGTTAGCGTTGAAGTCCGCTGCTGCGTTACTGGCTGAACCTCCGATTTATTTCCACTAATTCACTAAATATAGACGTCATTATTTATTTGATTTATTTGCGGAAGATACGTTCAATGTACTTTGATGAACCGGGATGATACGTTTTAGGATTTCGTAACTCTCCCATTTAAACATCAGGTGTAGAAAAGCAAACAATTAATAAAACCTCTTAGAACTTATTATTATTTAAAACCACGAATGTAAGAAAGAAGTGAATATAAATTAATGGAATAATTGAATGAATTTCAATTCACGCAACTAAGATACAGAACAAATTAATTTTCAAAGATGAACGAAAGATTGTGTCAGACAATTTAATTGTTTTTAACGAAATTAGTATCTAAAGAAGTCTCCTGCGGTTAACAGGGTAACTCGACGCTGCTGTTCAAACGGTCATCGATCATCTCGACGGGCAGTAGCAACAACAGCGGTGCTGGAGAAGATTACGATTACGTTAATCTTGATTCGAGGGAAGTGGTTGCAAAGCAACGTGAAGAAGTACGAGCTGCGTTACCTCAAGAACTTCGAAGCAATTACGACCTGCTCGTATCCGAGGCGGACAATGCAACGATTCAAATGCCACCCACAACCCCGACGCCCATGGATCCTAACGACAAACAATTGTTGGCTTTCTACGCGGCCCAGGTGATCACGCATGGAAACCACCTGACTCACGCAATCGACGCTTTCATGCAAACGGTCGCACTCAACCAACCGCCTAAGGCAAGTATCACTTATTTTCGCTTTTATTTCTCAACAGTCTCGTTATTATCGCATTCTGGGTCTTTATTATACGATGTGCCATTGATTCCTGTGCAAAGATTCCATTCAATTTATTATTCCACTTTTAGTTTCCAATTAGAAGAAAAAGAAATCGCTATAAAATTTTTTTACGTCAGAAAAGTAGAATTTTCAGAAATAGAATTCACGATAAAAACGATAAATATAAAGATAAAAACAAGATAATATTTACATCTTCAAAGCGTTATAAATATTGCTGAAACATTTTAATTTTTGTCGCCTTTAATGTCGTCTTTAATTGTTACTATTTATTTTACCAAGAAGTTATTTCAATTTCTTCATCTGAAGTACTGTCTTCATAATTTTCACGTAAGAACAGAGTCTTCATTTTACCTGCCAAGACTGAGATTTTTGGAGAGCTTAATTTATTGTCTAATAACATAATTTAGAAATTAATGGACGAACGTAAACAATAAACTATGAAATAAATCTGTGACGCCAGCTGTACATATGCATTTCCTTGTGTTATTTTTGCTTCGTGCGCTGGACGGCATATAAAATCATGAATATGAATTAATGTATGTGTCTAATTAACAATAAATGATCATCGGCATTCTTTATTGAACCTGCTTGAACACATTGTTTTTATATTAAAAACAATATTCTTTATTTCGATGCTATCTTCGACTCTAATCCTTTTATCATCTGTCCCGTTTAAGAATAATCGATTCGAGAAGTAAAATTGTCGAATAGTTTGTCCATTACATTGCCCATTACATATGGACGCAAATTCTCAACACACCGTCTTAGTCTAAAAATATCAAAATTAATTAAAAGTGTGTTCACAATAAAAACTTATCTTCATTTGTTTGAACAGGTATTTCTGGCACATGGAAAATTCGTGGTGTTAAGCGCACATAGATTGGTACACATCGGCGACACGGTGCACAGGAACGTGATCAGAAACGATGTGCGAACGCGCGTTTTGCAGTGCGCAAACGCTTTGAACGATTCACTTGCGCAAACTGTGTCGAAAACAAAACAAGCTGCACAATACTTCCCCAATGTAACCGCAGTTCAAGAAATGGTAGACAGCGTTGTAGATGTTTCTCATTTGGCCAAGGACTTGAAGATCGCGATGATCCAGGCCGCGCAGCAGCCCTGAACGTCTGAAGATTGGAGATCCTCATCTTCGACACGGAGGAAGCTGGCGATGCGCGAAAGTTAGCAAGCTTCATTCTTATCCTACAAAGACTTTTTTTCGCGTGCAAGTTCCTTAGATCGGCTTGATGGTCAAACAGTTTCCACTTAAAAAGAAGCTTGGATAAGGTAAACAGAAGCTGTAATTATCAGCAGCTGTTATTACTGGCCATCAGACTTTTAAGTCACGTTTTCGATGGTAATTACAAGAACAACAGAATAGGTAAGAGAAAGAGATATAATCCACAGACTAAAGTCTCCGTAAGAACTTAGGCATAGGAGATGCGTTTTTTTACTCCTACAAGTAGTAGAACCTACTTATTTGAGTCGAATTCTGGGCCAAGCATGTTTACTAGCAGCTGTCCCTAAATTTGTCAGCTACAAAGAAATTTAAGATTCTTCTCTTTAAAAGATATGAATTGCTTAAAATGTCGTTCTTAGCTTGGACATGCTTGGCTCGGAACATTAGCCTCATTTGATTGGCAGAAAATGAATTTGGACCGTGGATAAAAAAATTGCGCCCACTGAAATGTTTCGATTGACTAAACTAAGCTATGTTTATCGCAATAAATAACTCTCGAGGCCTATGGATACTTAGAACTACGCAACTGCCAAAGCACAGGAACCTAGGATATAAGGAAACCTCTTTCAAGACAAGTGTTTTTGTGAAGTACACCGTGTTTCAATAATTCATGCTGCTCATATTCACTGTACAGGATGATCCAGTATTTATGGTACAATTCGTTGGAGGTTAATTTATTATTAAAGACAAAAATAGTAAAATCTTTTCATATCGGGGTTTTTTGAGAATTTTGAAAAAAAAGAACGAATTTTCTCTTCAAGAAAAAGAACCTCGTTAGAAGAAAGTTTTATATTATATTCTTGTCTTAGTTACTCTACGTCTTATTGTATCATGAATTCTAAGACATCCTGTGTACTCCAAATGGTGAGAATCATTGAACCATTGTATACTCGACAATATAGGCAATGTATCCTTTTATAGGAAATACATATAACTGTGTCATTCGTTAGCTGAAAGTGTGGAGTAAAACAATATAAGAGATATAGCAAATGTAGAATATATTTGGAAAGATTCTCGAATAGAGATTCATTTCAAATGTAATGCGCCGTTGTCATTGCCAGCGAGTTCAATATGATCGTAGCCGTGTTAATAACACTCATCAAACAACTGTGTATTTGTGCCTCTCTCATTTGATAATTGTTTCATTTGAAAGCATGTTCTGAAATTACTACGAAACCGATGGAAAATTATTTTCCAAAACATCGGCAATTCAAAATATTGCCACGTCATCTTCAAACATTTATACAAATGAATTCAACTAAATGCAGTGTTCAAACGATTCTTGGAACAAATTTATAGAATACTATGTGAGCTATGAATACGTCTTTTAGAGACCGATTTTAACGAATTTTTATAGAACTTTTTATTACCGGAACACGACTTTTTCGTGTCGATCGTTTTACGACTCTTCCAAATTACTAACCTACACCGGAGACTGTGAAAAAAAATCGAAACCTGAAATTTGTAGACTGTTTACTATCATTCCAATGTTGATTCGACTGCGCTCTCCTTACAAGAGCAATGAAAAGAATATTTCAATACAAATACGATGTTCTGTCGGCCACGATATCCGCTGATCACAAAAATTGGAATTGTATTGTTGTCAATAGATGTTAGTTTCATTGCTAAACAAGTAACTTTTACGATCGGCGGATCTTAAAGTATTGTTAATACAGAAAAGATTGCATTTTGTGTAGATGCAGTGAAATCCTTTTTGTTTCACTGTATTTTCCTAGAAGTTATTTTCCCCATGCTCTGCCCTTAGAGAGGTAACTGACAACCGCACATTTGTAACGCAGCCTTTTGTCTCCTTTTTTGACGGAGAAGCACCGAAGATCACTAAAACATGAAATGCCCAAGATGATGAGAACAAAATTGGGCGATATTTGATTGAAACGTATGATTATCGATTGCAATTTACAAGAATGTGTATTTTCAGGTGATCGTCCGTATTTAGAGTATTTACTACAATAGCTTATACATGTAGTTTATTTTTTAGAAAGTATATTAATCGATCATATCGCGTGAACACAAACCTCGTTTACGGAACTTGTATTATAATTTATTGGCGACGTGTTTTTTGTAAGATAACAAGCATTCAAGGCAGTTAGAATTAATGTATATTTAGAATTTATACATAGTCGATATTAAATAGGTGCTTATCATTCTTGTTGAATCGTATCCCCGATAATAGTGACGTAACGTTAAGCCAACAATTACCTTTGATAACGAAACGTATGACACGTGTATGTATTATCGATCGACCGAGTAAAAGAAACCTTATCGTTTTGTAATGTTCTCCTCGATTCAACCTTTGTACATTGTACCTGGAATTCTTTCGTGCTAAAATACTTTTGCGATGGATGTTCTTAGAAGTATAATAATCGTGAGGAAATTATACTGGCAGAGCTCTTGAAATTATTGAGAACTTCGTTCATTTTTCGGATATCGTTCTATGAAGCGATGAAGTTACATACTAATCAACGTCTAGAAATTTAATCGAGCATATTAACCAGCGAATTTGAAGAATAATCAAAGTTTCACTTGGGATTAACGTGTCCTTCGAACTGAATGAATTGTGTCGTTTTGAGGGCGTTTAATATGTACATAAGTATATATACACGAATAAACACACACATACACACATATACAATTATTCCTATACAGTCTAGGCATAATTACAATAATATATCGACGCAACAGGTAAAAAAGCATTTGAAAAAATCGTGCAATATCAAATCTTAACATTTAAGCATTGAATTATACTCAAAAAAATTGCGGAAATATTTACAAATAGAGCAAACAAATCAGATTTGTTTTACAAAGATACGATCCGAAATTTTAGTGTTTTGCGTTGAAAAAGTTGGTATCATCTTGCACTTAATTTGCTTGGTGACGTCTGGGTGATAATTTTGTATACTGGCGAGTTATTTGTATATTATAGTTTCAATGGTTCAATAAAGAATAATTAAATATATGAAAAAGTTTAATGATTTTATTGTTTTATTATTTTTCGAGGTTTTTTAAATAACACGGTATGTCAATTAAATTATATGCAATGATACATTTATTAGAAACTTCCAACTAAATTTGTATGGAAGTACATACAATAGTTCAAATGTCTCTCATGTAACCACCTGCGTAAGTATTAACAAATACACCCCTTATTAGCGGTATATAGAATATTTCATATGTTTCAGGTAAGGCTTGAATAAACTTAAATACTTTACCCAGTATTTGTAAAGTTCTTGTGATAATGTACATGTCAAACATTCAAGCCATCATGCTTGACTTACGGTATTTTCCACGTATTTCCCATGCATATTTATTTACAAAAATATGCACAAATGTCACAGATTTTAGGTCCAAACAGTATGGAACTAATAATGCAAAAAATCATTTAAAATCTATCTGTACGTAAATATTCAAAACAAATGATTAACGGTCGCAGCATCGTCCGGTATGCGTGTGCGTATTGCCATCTTTGCTCATTTTCTCTTTTGAAGCATTTTTTTCCATGTGAAAACTGCTGAGATCTCGTTTCATGGCATAAGCGTCTTCTCCATCCGCATAGTATTTAGGTTCCACTTCTGACACTTCAAACTGTAGACTGCTTGTGTATAAATTTAAAGCTGCTCTATTACTTCTACGTACATGTAGCGACACATATTTTGCTCCAAAGCATTCTACCATTGCCCTGGAGGCCTGGTTCATAAGCTTTTGCGCAATACCAAGTCTTCTGTGAGATCGTTTCACTGCCAAACTTGTAATATGACCATGAGGATTGTCCTCGCAGTCTTCTTCCATTTTGGCAAGGACATAGCCCACTATCCTGCCTTTTTCATCCTCTGCCACATAACTTAGTTGTGGCCAAGAAAGAGCGTGATACAAATAATACTTCATTTGATAATTCTCAGGTAAACAATGCAAATTACAATGCTGTATGTTCAGCAAATCATCTGTCGTTGCACAGCGTATGTTTATAGACATCTTTGCAAATGAAAATGTTATGGATACACAAATAACACTCTTCTTTAACTAAACAGTATCTTAGGTGTTGCCTGTTTCTTCTTAAAATTTCAAGCGAAGCTTTAATCTCGGCGAATTTTCTTTATACGTGATCTACCATTTTTTAAATCATTCACTGACGAAGATTCAGTCATCCCATCCAGCAGTTCTTGGACAAAGGGTAATCTTGAAAGGAAAAACTTCCAAACTAAATACCAACCTGTGGAAAAAAACATAAACGCTTTTGTGAAATTATATTTATGAATAATTCAGAAAATCCATAAATGAATAGAAAGTATGCAAGTTTATCGCAAAATTATCTGTAACACT